TATATATATATATATATTGTATATGTCGCTATTTATATATGTCCTCTTATATCGTATAGATTAACCTAATATAGTGTTGCATCAAAATGCAATTATCCATACTAACAAGAAGGATGAAAGAAGGCAAATTTTGAAAAACATCATCACTCCTCCTTCAATCACACAAGAATGCATATTTAAGAAGAGAAAAGAAAACTAACACAAATAGTCTTAAATGCGTATTCTTTAAGTGCAAGCTCTAAATTATCGAAAGAAAAGAGTCCACATTTCTGGCCTGCAAATGTTGCGTCAGCAACAACATTTGCTACCCAACATTTATCTGAGGCTGAGGGTGTTACGTCCAATGGACTCCCATGACTCTTTTCTGTCATGGAAATCTGGAATTCTTTGAAATAAAAAGACAGCTGCGAAAAACGCACAAGTTGAGCATTATAGCCTAGAAAAGACTAAAAAATTTTCTTTTCCCACACTAAAAATTAAAACGAATCCAGCATCTCCTCGTGAATGTCGTTCCGAGATAAATTAAAAATCAATGCATGTGCACGTTCAGCGGGACCAAAAAGATACCAAGTTTGTGTCCTCAGACACTGCAGCTAAAATAATATTAGGTGTACAACTTTGCTTCCGCTGTTTTTTTTTCCGAAATTCGAGGCTTTATTGTAAAAACTGGTTATACATTTATGATTCAAAGTATTGTCCATCGCTGGCCACTACTTTCTCCCATCTTTCGGGTAGCGTACAAATCCCGCGTCGAAAAAACTGGTCATCTTTTGAGATTATCCACGAATCGATCCAATTTTTTATTTCTTCATAAGATACTGGAAGTGCTGGTCAGCCAGGCCGTGTGCCATTGATCGAAACAAGTAATAGTCAGAGGGAGCAACGTCTGGAGAATACGACGGGTGGGATAGGACTTCCCATTTCAACGTTTCCAAGTATGTCTTGACCACTTTCGCAACATGGGGTCGAGCATTGTCATGTTGCAAAATCACTTTATCATGTCTCTCGTTGTATTGCGGCCGTTTATCTTTCAATGCTCGGCTCAAACGCATCAATTGCGTTCGATACCGATCACCTGTGATTGTTTCAGTCGGTTTTAACAGTTCATAATACACTACGCCGAGCTGGTCCCACCAAATACAGAGCATGACCTTGGAGCCGTGAATGTTCGGTTTGGCCGTCGACGTAGAAGCATGGCCGGGAACTCCCCATGATTTTCTGCGCTTGGGATTATCGTAATGAACCCATTTTTCGTCCCCAGTCACAATGTGATGTAGAAATCCCTTCCGTCTTTGCCTTTCAAGCAGCTGTTCACAAGCAAACAAACGCCGTTCAACATCTCTCGGCTTCAATTCGTACGGCACCCAATTTCCTTGCTTCTGAATCATTCCCATGGCTTTGAGGCGTTTTGAAATGGCTTGTTGAGTCACTCCCAATGATCGTGCCAATTCTTCTTGATTTTGAGTCTTGCTCAAGTAATGCCTCCAATTCTGCATCTTCGAAAACCTTCTCTCTTCCACCGCTATGCTGGTCTTCGACGTCAAAATCACCGTTCTTGAAGCGTTGAAACCACTCACGACACATTCTTTCACTAATAGCGGCCTCATCATAAGTATTCGATGAGCCTCAGCTGCAGATTTCTTCATATTGAAGCAAAAAATTAAAACCTGCAAATAACGAGAATTTGGCTCGTAAACTGACATTTTCAATCGAGAATAACTTTATGATGCAGACATAAATCGACTAATGTTTCTATGGGGTTATGTTGACAGATGCCCAAGTTTATTATATGACGTCTATGATCTATTTATTTCGACCACCACTTACCGCTAGAGCTATCTATAGGAAAACGGCGGAAGCAAAGTTGTACACCTAATATATTTCTTCTCGTGTGAGTTCATCTCTACCAGGATATGGACGAAGCAAATATGGTTTTAGAGAGAAAATCATCTCCAATAAGATAATACAGTCCTTTTTCTCGTTGTTGACTATAGAATATTCATCTGTTCTTCGTCAAATGCTTTCCCTATGATGCTGTCTTTGAAAATACCACCATCATTTCGTCGTCCATATGCCTCAATATCCAATTTTCAATTCGCAAACTGAATTATACAGGGTATAGAAAAAATCGGACCCCTCAAATATCTTGAAAAGTAATCATTTTTGAGAAAAATGTTTTATACAAAAATTGAAAATGATCTATTGACTGATCTTACCAATTTGACCTTGGATGGTGTCATCAAAGTCAAGTGAAGGTCAAATCGATTTTTTTTAAACAAAACACTATTTTTGATTTTAGAATCTAATAACTGAAGTCGAGAGTTTCCCAAAACACTGTAATAAAGCCTCTTTTTAATCAATACTTTTCAAGTTATACGAGTTGAAAGTTACGGAACCGCCGGCATTAGCATTATCTAAGATATTACATAAAGATTACCCGAACTGAATTTATGAGTCCTGTATGTGCTCGCGAATGTATCTCTATCTCCTCCTTCCCCCTTTCCCTCCTACTCCTTTCTTCCTTCTTCTTTTTTCAATAAAGTTGGAGACTACATAAGAGATCTCTAGATCTCTCCCGTCAAGTTCATTCTTTCTGTGACTTGCGATTGAGAAAGTATATTTCTTCGTGATATTCCGTTTCTGAGATTGCTTATCGCCACATAGTTGTCTTTGTTTATAAAGTATTTATTTAAAATACTTTATAATGCTTACTGAACAGGAGCATATATCCTTTTTAATGATGCGGGGATGGAATGATCGTAGGAGGTCTTACGCACATGTGACAGAACTTTTCAATCAAACTTTTAGGAATGAGGACAATGGTAAAAAATCTAAATCGATTCGTACTGTATAATGTTTTGAAGAAATGGATTTTGTAAAAGATCGTAATAAACAAGGTAGATCAGCAATAACGACAAATCCTGATACAAAAACATCCTAACAATCTAAATAAAGATAATGGCTATAAATAAAATATGGAAAACCATTCTCCCGGTTAATAAGGACTGATCGATTTCCCCCATCCACAATTTTCTTCTTTTCCTCCATCACTCAATAGTAATATATAAAAAGGGGAATAACCCGGAGGTACAGCTCAGTATCAGGCTACTCCTCGCCCTGACGAAGTGAACTGCAAGATTTATGAAATGTCATTCCAAGAATGGATCTGGACACGAAGAAACCTGCGAAACATAATCATTATATAGAAAGGACCCGTGGAAATCTCAAGAATATTATCAAATACCTTTATGGGGAAAGTATCCTTGCTAAAAAAAACATTTTCAACAAACTCAGGTCTTTCCTAGCCAAGTAACTTGGCATTCCTAAAACGCTGCAAGAATAATAACATCATCCCAAAGTTCCTACAAATCAAGAACCACTTAGGTCCTCACAAAATATCCAAAAGCATCCTTCATAAAACCAGCCTCATCCTCGTCAAAGAACGCATCCACTTCATTAAGTCACAAATAGTCCAGACTTCCCACAAAATTTTTAAACTCCACCTGTATTCACTGTATCTATCCACCACGTTATGGCATGATATCTGGCAAACTCTAGATTGTAATATGAACAAACCATGAAGACCCACAATCTTCTGAAAGACAGAAACTTGTTCCTTACAAAAATCCATAACCCTCTCTACTTAACGTCAAGAACCTCCAACAAAGACCTATCTCAAGATATTACATCTGCGCTTGCCAAAGGCCTTAACTTCGCAATGGCATCTAGGAAGATTCCAAAGGAAGAGATTATCAGCCAAATAGAGTCAACCATGTACCGACCATCAGAACAAGCAGACAATCCGCAGACAGGTAATCAGTATCCTTTCCAAAACCAAACTGCCCTCCACTAAACATCACTAGACAAAAGCGATTGGCCCTCCAAGACCTGAACAGGGACACAGACATCATCATACTTCCAGCCGACAAAGGTAACACGACAGTAGTCATGAACACATCAGAATATAAGAAAAAGATAAAGAACCTTCTCTCGGACAATGCATACAAAAAGCTTAACAAAGATTCAACTAATACAATCTCGCAGAATACTAAGATCCTGATGAAAAAAAGCGACATTCCCAGTAAAAGCAAATCATTAAAACCTCCTATCTCTTCTTATATCTCCTCCTACCAAGACTATACGGACAATCAAAAGTACATAAACCAAACATCCCATTCAGACCGATTGATAGCATACACTTCCCAACATACAATTTATCTCGCTTCCTAGCACAAACACTACAATTCCTCACTGGAAAATCCGAATCACACTTAACTATCTCAATGAATATCATACAAAAGATCCAAAAATATCCGACTACGTCTCACAGACCTGCTTGTAAATTTCAACATAGAATCCCTTTTCATACAAGTCCCAATAAAAGACACATTAAACATAATAAAGACCTCATATGAAGTCCTCTCCGACCTCATCCCGCTAATAGAGCACTTAACAATCTCTTACTTCTCCTATAACAATCCATTTTATGAACAAACTTTAAGAGCGGCAATGGGCTCTCCTTTTTCTCCTGTAATCGCCAACATCTTCATGGAGCATTTTGAGAAAGAGGCCCTCAGAAAAATACTCAAAAAATCAAAAGTTTGGTTCCATTATATAGATGACACATTCGTGATATGGAGACACGGCAGAGTCGAACTCCGTAAATTCCTTATTTTCCTCAACAATCATCATC